GATGAACTTGAAAAGAGATAGAAGACATTTTCTTCTCTTCTGATAAATAGTATATGAATATTCAAGTTATCTTCCTATTGCAACTTCAATATGATTTTAACTGAGTGACAAATATAAAAGCTTTACGACCATCTAGTCGTATTCTTGTTTCAAAACTTTGTATATACGAAAAGATATGTATTTTACAATTAGAAATGCGTTCAATATCATGCATAAAAGCGAAATAGATGCTTAGCTCCTTTTTTTTGGAAACTATACAAATTAATCTGAAAGAAACATGGTGTCACTAAAATTATTCTTGATGAGAAAAGAACAAAAATATTTCTAAGTCTATATTACTATTATAAGTCAAGCGACTGTAAAGTATACTGATTGAGTCGGTACTTCTCGGCCAATGCCACCATTTTGTTTTGTTTATTTTACTACGGATTGAGTTCAATGATCTTACCATTTATTCTTTTTTCTTTCTCATACATTATCGAACGATTATTTTCCCAATCAATAGCACATAATCTATTATTTCATGAATTTGATTATTTGCTATAGATAGTCGAAGACCAGAAAATACAACGTAAATTATTTTTACTCATATTTTTAAGCCGATTCTTCAGTAAAAAAATGACAATTGTATTAGTGAATTCTCTAAGAAAAAAAATGCAAAAAATATTTGAAAACTTAATATCATTAGAATACATCATAGACTCATGATAGCATATTAGAAATTCAGTTTTTAAATGAACTGTTTGTCTACTGTAAAAAGAGTTGAAAAAGCTAGTTATACATCTAATCAAGAAGTAATTGCTCTGTGAGAATTCGTAGAATTTCTCAGAGATCGAGATCCAAAGACTTAAATACTGGTAATAAAAGTTTTCCTGTGTGTATATCAATTCGATACATTTTTAATCTCTTCGGTCGAATCATTATTTTATGAATAAACATTAAAATAATATATTTCACTTGTCATTGTCTTCGAACAAATAATATATATATATATATATATATATATATATATAATGATTATTCGATGAGAAAAATGATCTTTGCTACGCATAGATGTACTCCAAAGAGTGACTAAAAGCAAAAATCTCATTTAGCATCGAGTGAAAATAGACAAATTGCAAAATCATACTTTGTTCCCTAATTTCTAATTGAATTTCAATTTCTAGTGATTTATATCGCTGGAAGAACTCATTCGTTACAATCATTTATTTCGAATAGAGTAAGAAGTTATGTTAGATTTGCTAAATATCAGAGAGCAGAAGCAGATTCTCTTAAAAAATGATGATATGATCTATGCGAGTTTTTCCTATGAGTACATCGTACCTGACAAATGCAAATAGTTATATTCACATAGTCCATACTAATCAAAACAATAAAACAACAATATCTTACCTTCATTAATTGAAGCACTAATTTTTACATCAGGCATCTGAAACAATGAGATATTTCATTAATATTTTTTCTTCTTTTAAGTATCTATGATCTTACTTGGCCAGTGATCGAATTTATTCCTGTCTTTTTGCTAGTACTGGCAGCTGTTCCATGTGTATCAGTCTATAAATAGAATGATATAAGTGTTAACCTTAGAAGATAATAGAAAATAGTTTGATTTACTTGAGATTTGTTTGAATGTGTCTTTGATTTTTCTTTGCTTATGTGAAACGAAGTCGTTTTCGAATCATCTGTAATAAAAGAAATCATCATTTATTTATTTTTCTTGATGCCATTTTCGTGCATATGTTCGATCAATTCAATACACTTAATCTACTTATTTTTTTCCCTGAAGGCATAGTTGATTGATGTTAAATCATGTCTCTATTTAGTAAGCATTATACTTGTATTATCTTTCGAACTCACCAGGTGAATTGGAATGAATTGATAATGAACCAATAATAGGTACTGGTTGTAGGAGTGGAAAAGGTGGAGTAGTTTCTTCCAGTTGAATAATGTAAAGATTACCTTGAGTAAGGCAACCTTTTACTTTGAATTGAGTTGCAGCCATAAGAAGTACCTCATCTTCAGCTGGGTAAAACGAATGCTGGCTAATATCTCTTGCTGATTTACATTGTAAGGTAAACATAGTTCTTTTGCCTGTTTTTCCCAAGAATATTTCTGAATCTAGCACATCGACAGATGTTGTGCATGATGAGAAACCCCACCACACAATTGATTCTCCTTTGATATAGCGATTGCTGAGGTCTAATCTAACACCTCTGTATGCCATCGCAGGAACCAACGGAAGACGAAACAATGCATTTAAAAATAGTCTCAAATAGAGATACCAAAATGGGAGTCTCTGTTGGCGATTTTTGGCGCGCAGTGTGTCATTCAAGACCACGTATAGACATTCGTCAAGAGGCTCCCATCCCATGGTGTACAACATAATCGAAGCAGATTCATCTTGTGTTAAATTATCGGCAGGTTTCTTACATTTTAATTTAGCGACGTATGCATGAGCTTGAACATCAGGTAGAATAGGAACAAGTGGTTTCACTGCTTCTTCAAGTGAAACAAGGGGTACTTTCGAATAGCCGCCGATGGGTGCAAGAATTTCCAGTGGCTCTTGTACAACGTCACTAAAGCGTAATACACGTTGTACTGCCGCCTCTTCTCCTCCGCCTGCTGTGGCCATGCTTATTAGAAAGAAAATACTTTACGATGATTAATATCTGGAAAGTAAAACGAGAACAGATTGTTATAGTGTTATTCTCTGCAATATCAATCTATTCTATTTCAATATAATAATTAAATTTTCACAATATTAGACAAAAAAATGAGGGGCTACTGGAACTTATTTTTTGGGATCTTTTGAACCTTTTTAAAGTTCGGGATTGTTTTCTTCATCTATTATATTCTGAAACAATGATTTTCTATATAAGATAAAAAGATAAATCCGTTTACATCTCAATGTAAATTATTCTTGGATCGATAGTATCTAGCGGATTTATTCTAATAGTACTATTGTATCATAGAGGCTGTTGTAAAAATCTATAAAAATCAAATAATTTCTTAACGGATCATTTTTTTGCTAACGGATCTACTGACGATACATATCTCTCTATTGACATTCACCTGTACTTAGCTTCGTAAGATGAATCGATCCCTAGCGGATATACTCTTTACATAACAGGATTAATTGATATTTATAATCACTGTTCTAAAGTTTTTACAACTAAAAGACAACACCCGATGGCTTAGTGGTAAGAGTGATGACTTCTCAATTCACATATCTAAGGTTCGAATCCTTATTCGATCACTGTGATTTTGATTACTTGAAACTTACTTATAATTAATATGTAGAAAAAGTTCATAGAAATATCCCAATTAAAAATTATGTTACATAGTACTGAATAAAAAAATACTGCCGGATTTATTCCGGATATATTATTCTCTTTGATAGTTTATTATACAAATTTCTTAAAATCAAATGATTCTTCACTGGACATATTCTTTTTTGTAAAGATGCATATAGGATATAAAGAACTATCTCTCATTGCATAATTTATTCACAACTCCATAACATTTTATAATTCCTGGACAGATTAATTCATCTTCCAGCGAATCTATTTCAAGAAAACCAGCGTCGCTCTATAATGATATTTATTACTCTAAATTTCTTAGAACCATCAATAGCACTATTAGATGACTTGGTTACAGATTGATCTCGAGTAAGATATATAATGTTCCAAACCTTATGCGGTTTAGTGTGCTTTTTTAATAAAGAATTAACCTTGTCTACAAAGTTTTAGTAGGAAACTAAGTTCGTGACATGAATAGTAAGAAATTTTAGAAAATTATTATGCAGTGGCTTTCTTTAGAAAGTTATTTATTCGCACAAAGTCAATGCTAAAATTAGTATGCTAACATAGCTATTTTTACCCTGAGAATTGATGTACAGATTGACTACAAATATTATTACGGCCTCAGACCATCTCATCAGTGTATTAAGGGAGCCTAACTTTTATTGCATTAGTGATATTGGCACAAAATTACTGACGCATTTGGGTATTCAAATAAAATTTGTTTTGCAAATCTCGTGTGTTTTACTTTTACCTTAATTCGTCTTATTCCAAGATTACATACATTTCACTTTAAATCCCCTTTTATATCTGATTAAATGATCGTTGTTTTATTCATGTCATGTATAGTATTTTGCATTCTGATGCATATGCTGTAGTGTATATTTTGCGGGCTATCATATAAGCGATTAGTAGAATAAGTAAAATGACCAGTAACATTATTTATGTGGTCAGTTATTAATATACTTCGATTTATTGATATATTATTTAAAAATCAGTAAATTAAATTAAAGGATCAGTATAAAAATTGAAATGTGTTATAAGGTGATTTACTTTTTTTCATGTTTGTTCTTTTGGTCTCTATATATTGTACAGTTGATAAGTACAAAATGTATAAATGTACTCTTAGCTTCTTTCTTTCACATTCAGCTTAGTATCAACGAGTAAAAAAGATGGAAGTCGTACAACTTGCTCAATATGAAAGTGATATATCAGACAACGAGGTTCTGGAAGAAAATGATGGAATAAATGGAAATGAATGAATTCAAAAAAAGGGGATGGGGTGTGGGAGTAGTGTAGATGAGCAGGAGAATCACACCCACATCAAAATTTCTATGTTTTACTGATCAATTTTATCTCTTTTGTTAGTAATTATATATAATCAACTGATTACTTTAAGATTAATTACTGATCCTTTTAGTACCCAGGTTAAAAGCCCACGATCGTATACTACCGTATACGGCAATCGTATACGTCTGCATACGATGGTCGTAAACGATCGTGTATACGACGGTCGTGCCCGACCGTCGTATACTATCGTATTTTTGTCGTTTGCTGATCTTGGCTGCAACACGATTTATCGATAGTAATATATATGTAGATATACGATTTCATTGAAAAAAAATTATTTTTTATTTTCATATTTGTAATAGGCAAATTGATAGTAAATAATTATAATGTAGATAATGTTCTTTTGATCAAAACTAGCTGTACTAAAGAAATCTCTATCGAAATTCCAGCTTCATTTTACAATTGTAAATCAATTACATCATCATTTATCAGGTGTTTCAGTAAAATCTAACAGCCTCTTTGATCCACGTGATACATTAATTAGCAATTTTCTTCTCAAAACTCATAACGATTTATTTTTCTGTGAGAATCCAAATCAATGCATTAGAACATATCGTCGTTATCGAACTAATCCTACGATCTATCATTTCTTGATTTACCACAGACATGGATCATCCAAAAGTTAATTTTCTCAATATTCAAAAAGATAATGAAAACGATCTGTTCAGTATAATTGAGCTGTTATTTGCTTGCAATAGCAAAAGCTATGCTTTAATAATTACATAAATAATAGTTCGAAGTATTTATTTAGTGATTACTCACTCTCTTCTAAATACCATGGTATTTTGCTTAAGGCAACCAATATGAATTTCTATATGTACTTCATCCTTACTTCAACTTATAGCGAGATAATTACTGTGGACAGCATATCAATTATGTGTATAGTATCTACTTTTTGCGATTCATTTGTTGTGGCAATAATCATCTTCATACAAACACGATTGGAAATATGTTTTCATAAAAGTTTCATTAGAATCTAAATAATTTCACTTTTCTTGATGAACGAAGGAAAGAAAAATCATCATCGATTTTCTATTTTCTTCGTCCGATCGAGCGAGAAGAGGATTTGAAGAGGACGTATTCGTCAGGACTTTTTTTCTTTTCTGTTACAGTATTCATATATATATATATAGGTGTTATTCGTGTTTATAATCGTTCAGCTTATTATCCTACTTTCTTTTTATCATCGAAGTTCTTTTCTGTTTTAGAATCCTCATGCTTTAGACTCGTGCAGTGATAAATCAGGTGGACAAGTTCACGATAAGTTAGTAAGTTTTTCCGAATAATATATTTAAACTAAATCTATTTTTTTTTCTTTCTTGCTTCTATTCAAATGTTTAAAAATGTTGAGCTAATCGACCTGATGGCAAAAGACTGGCGATTATCCTCGAAAAATTCCACGAATAATTTTACTAATAACGAAAAAAACGTATTCTACCAATTGGTAAAGCACATCTTACTCCAGAACTACTTAATCAAGAACAATTCACAACATTTCTTGGTATGCAAAAAATTCCATCTGAGTTTCACCAATCATGAAATTTCATTTAAACTAGGTGCAGTTCGCTTCAAATTCAAATTAGATTCGGTCAATTTTGGATTATTTTATAAAATTTTATTACGACGATAACTCGCCGATTTTTTAATTGAAGAAAGACGACGAGCAAATGTTAAAAAAAACTCGACGATTATTAAGCACAATACAATGCAACACGCTGCCAGTCAAATCATTCATGGATTCGATAAATGAATATTTTTTTTAATTGAGCTATATTTTTGTTGTAGTAAAAAAAGATAATTTTGTATATACTATAAGATTGTTCAAATAAATGCCTATTGGAGTTTGGTATAAACAAATTCACTAATAGTGAAACAATGGAAAAATTTTTTCTCTAGTACAGCATTGATTACATTAGATAAAAACTAGTAAATGGTTTCATAAAAGATCTTAAAAGAACCATCATACAATGATTTACAACAGTGTTCAATCATATTTACGATCATATACGACCAACGTAACACGCCGTATTTCGTCGTATACGACACGACGACTTACGATCGTAATTCTAGCGTCAAGTAATACGACGGAATACGATAGTATACGATCGTATTTTAGACTGTAAACGATCGTATACGGTCGGTTACGGCGTCGTAACATTCATCCTGGGTACTGACCATTCATATTCTTTTTTACTGATCATTTCATTTATTTTACTGATCAAATATAATGTTCCCTAATTAAAGTACTGATTTCCGAATAGAGGCTTGATTCAAGTCTCACTACAAATGATAACTCTTGCCACTCATCAATTTTAATTATTAAAATCACAACGGATTAATCTGAAGTGCTACTCTTAATACAAAAGCATTATCTTTTTCTGCACACTTATGTTCTTATGATATCGCCATGTTCAGTTACTGTGTACACAAAGACATACATGGGTCGCGGCTCTTCGGAGGGGAAGGCGCCAAGCTTCCGCACGTCGCGACTGTGCCGAGATTGATGGCACGCTTCAATAATTCTCCTTCCTCTTCCTTCTGTTCTCTTTCCATTGTTATAATATATCTCGCTCCTGTCTCTCTTCTATCTCCCTCCTATATATACTTGTATTATGTATCAAGTTGTTACACTCTGGATATGTGAAGAAGCGAATAAAACTTATTGCCATGAGTGGCGGTAAGCTACTCCACCTCTATCCAGTTTGTCTTAATATATCAACTCGTCAGAGTCCCATATTTATCGCTACAGTTGATATAAAGGTTCTGTGGTGTGGTGCAAAGCGCTTCTCTCGCTGATTATTCATGTTAATCTTTTGAAGCTACGGTGTGCGTATTTTTGTTTTCAAGTATTTTTATTTCAATTCTAATGTACTTCCAAATAATTAGCAATACATAAAAATACATGAAAATTCACTGTCTCGTCCCCGGATATTGCTCACTACTTGGTATGTATCAAATCGAATTGTAATTCTAGATTTGGATTTCGACTTGAATTCGTCTAGATTAGATTTGCACTTTGAATTTTTTAATAAAATTCAGTTAACAACCAAAGTAATATCTAGCAAACTTCAGTCGAATCTAAGTCGGATACTATCATGCCCTATCACATCTTACTCAATTGTTGCCAAATCCAGTCTAATCCCTGTCAAATGTAGTGAAGTCTTCGACAAATGCTCTTAAATCTGAAAATTAGATTTGGCTTGGAATTGGATATGTTGCATTCCTTATTAGCACACCGGCATTTACAACTGTGTCAAAAATATTCCTCTTAAAGATAAAAGGTCTGTCCATCTGTAGTAATTATATAGCAGTCTGAAATCGATTTAGTATGAGCAGTCATCCTATTCTGCAACAAGGTCAAATCTGAACACTGTCCGATTCTTGGGATTACACGGAATTCAGTCCAATTCCGGAATTGCAACTTCTGTTACTATTCTATCTTCTTGTATCCATGCAGTGGTGATCCGATTCCGAGAATTCCTGAAGGTGTGTTGGAAGTGATAAACGGAATTGGATCGGTGTGGGTGCGGATGCGGACGCGGATATCTGTGCGCATACAGCTGTTCAAAAATCTACCACCCTCACACCCACACCCGTAAATTCTCTATCACAGTCTGTGATGGTCTCTACTGACTCCATAGATCAAAATACAGACCGTGGCCGAAAGGCTGCATATATGATTACAGACAGTGGCAGAAAAACTACAACGACTCACAGACCGTGGTAGACAGCTTCCAGCAAAGGATCTCCATCATGTTTCACATTTTAATCCCACAGGGATTGCGCTAACAGCTTTTTATTTCTGCTGTAGATAAGTACTTCCTGAATATTTTGATTTATTTTCGAATTAATCATACGTACGGATAGCGACTTTACTTCAGTATTATTAACACGAAATCTGTTGTATTTGAGATGAAATAATAGTTTAATGCTCATGAGTCAATATTTAAAAAAACTAATTTAATACTCCGCAATTATCATTGAATTCAAATAAGCTTTTATTTAACATTATTCAATACCTCTGTCGGTGTCTTAGTATTAAATAGTGATACTTTAGTCCTTTTACTGATTCAAAACTAATTACAAAGTCATAAAATATTGTTACAACGCTTATTTGAAAACACCAAATTATTTCTTTCACTCTCATGTAAACTATTAAAAATAGTATCAGCTATTGCAGTTCTAGTATTAAGACACCTTCCCTAACGTTTCTTTATCGGAGGTACATCTAAATTCGACCTTGATTCAAATAGCTAACGTTTTTTTCAGTGGAATAAATGAATCGATCGTTATAACTTCATGAAAATCAGCTAGTGGACGGGGTGTGGGTGTGGTAGATTTTTGAACAACCGTATGCACACAGAGATCGGCACTCACACCCACACTTTCTAATAATTTACTCACCCACCCCCAACAAAAATTTGAAATAAATGGTGTCTTGCTGTTGTCATGGAGAAATTTTCTACTGCCTACATCGATTGCCTACTTGTTCAAATGGTTTCATCTTTGCATCCTACGACTTGACAACGTTTTTTCTGTTCTGTTTCTGTTTACTTTGACTGTTTTTTGTTCCATTCTTTTTAACATATTTTAAAATAATCGATGTGAAGCTAGCACGAAGACCAATCCGAAACGTATCCATAATAAACCAATCAGGAATCGAGCATTATTTACCATTAAAAATCCATGAAATATCATACAAAGCACCTTAGCAACGGAATATTTCCGAACTTTATGTCGTTCAAAAATATTTCTTCCAAGCAAATTCACCCGTAATCCCTCTCACATTCATCGAAAGTAGATTTCCAAACACCATACGCACAAAAAACAATACCTATTCATCCACAAATTCTTTACTACCCAACATACAAATCATTGCCAGACATCGACCTCTTCATCATCCTTAACAAAATTCATTTCTACCACATTTCACCTACACACCCACCAACTCCACTCATCTGAAAACCTCTCGCCGAAAACTAGCGTCCATGAAAACACAGTTTCTTCCAAAAGATTCACGTGTGGAGATAATACTTTCCATTGCTCGGAACTAAGCTGTCTACCATTGAATAGAGAATTCATCTCTCTGCCAGTTGATGAATCAAAATCACCAACATTCCATTTTGACCCCCCTCAAAACAGCCTTGCTAATATCTAACGTATGAAAAAAGAAATCTTTGCAAAAACGGCCTGTGATGATGATTTCGTGGAAACGACATACTATGTTGAATGTTAAATGAAAGTCGTTATAGCGTGTTTTGCCGGATGTAAAGCAACTAGCTTCGATTTCGGAATAACATCAGTCACGGAAAGAGCTCTTTTTTTAGTTTGTGAGATATGTGTGTGACGTGTTCTTGTTGGTGATTAATGGATGTAGTGTGTATGGATTGTTTGTGCGTTCACTCATGAATTTTACAGAATGTGTTTTTTTTCCAATTTTTTTTGATTCTCAGTAGATGATTATATTTTTGTTGCTGACTCCATTATATTGGAACTATGTGAATCGTGGAGGGTTTATATTATTTTGGCGATTCTTTGCCAGGTTTTATTTATTTTAAGCAGCCTATTACGTGTTTCCGAAAATGAAATATTTTTATTGATTATTTATGGCGCGCCAATTTGGTTGTTGTTCTCGTTGCGCTGCTTTTGCGTCGTGTTTTCGGACTCGGCGTGTAAATATCTGATATCTAGAAAAGAGAGTGTGCTCAATTTTGTTCAATTTTTGACGTGCTGGTGACTTACATCTGATATGCTGTCGTCAGATTTTGGTTCGGCTTTTTGAAGTACGTCTTCTGCTAGTTGATGTCTGTATAAGTTTATTTTGTCTTGTGGGATTGGTTTATGTCGTTCACGATTTGTATATGCTTTTGCTTGTATTAGAAGATGGACGCCACATGAATGCGCATCATTTTGGTATAAATTGAAATCTTCACTCGGATCCGATAATGTCCATGCTGTGTGAAAATCTATGTCAGTGTCGTGCTTTAAATAATATTGTGTATTCAAAATATGAATAAGACACTCTAGATTTTGTCTGCGTGGCATATCATGTGCAGGCAATGAGTCGAATTGTATAAATAAATTTCGTTCAAGATCAATTATCATTAAATACCATTTGTGTTTCTGATTTATTGAACAGAGAATAATATCATAATCAAGCCAGGATGTTCTGACGTGTTTTAGTTTATTTTCAATTATGTCCGATACTGTGTGACTTTCGACAGCCAAGACGCGCTTGTGAAATGGTGCTGTAGATGCTATAATTAATAAATGGACATTAATAACCAAATCATTTATGTCAGCATCATTGTCTAACAATGTTTTAATGTCATCTTTTTTTAGTTGTACTGAGCCGATTTTTAAAGTATCAGCGAACGTTGGTAAAAGATCTTGCACAGTATTGATTGTCCATTCATCGGGCTCCATACCTTCGGCTAAAGTACTTTGGTACAAAGTTATTTTGTCCACCAGTGCCGGATAGAAGACATTTTCATCGGTTTGATAAATGAATATTATCCAGCGCGAAGCTAACCCTGTTTGATATGTTGATAAATCACGTAATTGTACAAATTGACCAGTAGTTTTATTAAAAGAGGTATACCCATTCGTTGTTTTTCTTAGATAATCAATGTCATCTTCTTCAAGAACAATTAATACTGTCTGTAAATGATAATCGAATGGTAAATTTGTATCAAGTGATCGAATGCGAAGTTGATTTATATCATCAATTAAAGTAATACAATCTGTATTAATTCTTTCAGTTTTCAATATAAGAAATCTTGGTATATCATATAAGACAAAATTAGTCAGTCCTGCTGTTTTACAAAAAGAACAATTGATTTCTGCATGCATGAGAAATTGAATTTTACGAGTAATATGTGATGCATCTTTTTTTATTTGCCAAACCTCATGCATCCGGACAACAGTAAAAGTTTCTAAAATAAAAAAATAAGCGAATAAATATTTTTCAATCTTATATTTTTGTGAAGCACGATCTGAAAGGAGTGTTGAAGTATATAGGGTAGAAATTTGAACCCACTCCGGCCCCCACAGACCGTTACAGAGAAATTAAGTAATCAGCTAATTGGTTAATTAATTAGTTAATTAGTTAATAATTAAATTTTTCTGTAACGATCTGTGATTGTTATGATCTGTGTATGCACACACAGATCATTAGCATCATCTACCTCGATAGCGCTATCTTTCTTTCTCCTATTGTCCTCTACTCTACACATTATGTATTCTTTATCTCATTGGAGCTAATTAAATACGAGTATATCTGTTCCTATTATCGTTTTCAGTTCTCAATTATTATTGTTAAAGTGTATGTTATCGAACCTGCTAATAAAGAAGTGAAAGTACACCTTAACAGTGATGGTTTCTGAACTCTCTGTAACGGTCTGCGATGATTTCTGAACTCTCTGTACCGGTCTGTGGTGGTTTCTAGAGACTTCATACATCATAATACAGACTGTAACAGAGAAGCTCCACAGACCATCAGTGACCGTGATATTCGAATTCCAGAAAAGAAGTTTTATCGTGTTTGACATTTTAATCCCACAGGATTGCGCTAACAGTTTTTTCATTGTTGTTCTTTATTTTTTTGTAACTCCATTTTTTTGATTTTTAAAATAAACATTCTTGCAATGACTCAAAATTTTCTTACCCTTCTACTAATTAATAATTTCATTTCAATAAGAAATATTTTACGAAAATAATACAAATTTTCATTTAAATAAAACAAATTTTATTTTTGATTATATAATATTTTCAAAAGCACAATTTATTTTTCACTTTAATAATTAATGTTTTTTGCGAAAAAATAGTAAATTCTTTTATTTAATTCATTTCTTTTCATTTAACAAATAAATAAAAGAAGTCGAAAAGAAACATATGACGTAATTTTATATTTTAGCCTTTTTATTTTCTTTGAAGCGAAAGAGTAAAAGAAAATTTCTTCTTTTTGTTCATTTATTTCAAAGTATAGAAAAAGAAATGAACAACGAAAAAATCGTTCACAAGTCTTATTCGATAGAAAATCGTTGAACACGATAATTATAATGATCGGCGACATAGAGATTTCCATGTCGATCGAAAGACAAACCACGGGGGTACTGGAACTGATATGCTCCTGCTCCTTTACGATCTCCACCCACAATTACAGTGCCTTGTTTCTTGTCTCCTTGAGTCCAACGTAGTACACAATGATTCATGTGGTCCGGTACATAGAGTGTACCCAACGTATCAACGAAGAGTCCATTAGGATAATACAACTGTGTCAGAGCACTCTCGTTGTCTTGTCCTCCAGCAATCACAATACCTTCTTTTACACCTTTATTCCATTTCGTTACACGATGATTGTAGTGATCTGATACGTACACTGAATGATCTCGATCGACAAAGGGATATGTCGGCAAGTTGAACTGACTGAGACCATCACCTTTACCATTACCACCAACTGCGAGAGTGCCATTCTTCTCACCCAATTGATATCGTCTTACTTCATGTTTTTCTCAGTCAGAAACGTAGAGATATCTTTGTTCATCCATTGCTAATCCATTACAACAGATTTTGTCGATGAGCACTTCTCCTTGTGTCGTACCACTACGAAGAGACCATCGTACAACTCGTAGATTCCCTCGATCACAAATAATGAGACTACCCGTGTCTTTGTCAATTAATACATCACTGGACTATTCAATTGATGTAATCCATTTCCTTGGCCTTTGCCACCAGCAACGACTTGTCCATTTGTTGTATCACCGTTCTTCCATTGCATGATACGACCATTCCACTGATCAGCAATAACCACTGTTTGAACATTATCAACAAAGAGACCAAGAGGCTCGTTGAGTTGATTAGTGGCACCACCTTCTCCATGACCTCCAGCAATCGTCACTCCGCTCTGTGCCCACGTGGCATTAGCAGGAATATTAACTAGAAGAGAAAGAGTAAGAATAAAAAGAGATCTCTGTCTTTCTCGAGTATAACTAGTATATAAAATAATTTCGAAAGTATCGAGCCAAATTCTTTGAATAGATCATTCTTTTTTTTAGAAATTCCTCAAAACAAGTTTTTTCTATACTGGAAGATTATTCTATCGAAAGAATTACACATATAGCATATCGTTCACTCTCTCTCTCTCTCAAGCGTATTTAAATTCTATATTTTGCGAGAAAATCAAACTTAAAATAATTAAATCTTGTTAACCCAA